GTGCCACGAGCGGTGGGTGTCCTTTTCAGGACAACTACCGGCCGACCCGTTACCCCGCGCTGAGCGGGGCCGGGGGGGCTTACCTTTGCTGGGCGGTCCTGTGTGGGGATAACCACGTTAAAAAGTCACCAAGCCCAAGTTTGCCGTGGGCGAGGGGATGGGTGGCAGCTGGTAGAGCTGTCGTTACACGGCCTCTGGAGGCGGGGACCGGCCGACCCCTGCCTTCACAACCCTTTTTATTTTTTATTTTTTGACGCTGAGAAATGCATTCCGCATACCCGCTTTACCCTGCGCGAGCTCCACGGGTTATGTGGGACTCTCCCCTGCAGACCAACCCCAGAATGGGACTGGTCAAAGAGCAGAGGCCTACCCACTAAAACTCAGCGATGTCCCTCACTGCGGGGGATCAGCGCGCGGTAACGGTCCCCAACAGGACCACTTCCCGCGCATGCCGTCCCCGCTCGACCCACCCCTTAACAGGGCGGGTCCCGTCTCGGGTTAGGGAAGGGCTCAGGAACATTCGAGTCCAACCCCAGACAGGACAAGGAGCGTGCAATGCCTGGCGAGCGCGCTAACCCGCCAGACTTGCCCCCTGTCAAAGGCAGGAGATGCGCAATTGAGCATCTCCCACCCTTGCCCGTCTAAGAGAGGGAATTCACACGGACTGAACCCTCGTGAATCCCTCACCCCGATAGCCCCGGATACCAATGTCCAGCCCAGCGTGCACCGAACCAGTCACCGGTATTCCGTTCCTTAGTCGCGCTCTGATAGTGGCCCCGCCGAGGCCCGATCACTCCACACACCGAACGGTGTGTGGGGCAGTCCGGCCCCGACGGCCCCACTACCAGAGAGCAAGATGGAAAATTCCCTCACCAGCATACGCCGGCCGACTCCTCGGTTTTCCTCACTACCAGCTCTCCGAGCCTCCCCGCCGATCGTAACCAGCAGGGTTGCAAGGCGAGAAGGTAACCTTCGCGGATTCAAGACCTCGAGTACGGGAACACTGTCGTGCTCCCGCCACCAAAGGCCCGTCGTCCGGTCCGCACGGAAAGATCTGAGGCACGGGAATTTGGCTGCCCACCAGGAACAAGAAGCCCGGGTCCCCCCCACCCCGGCCCACCAGCATCGCATCCGGTGCCCTCTCTAAGGAGAGGGATGGAAGCAACGCCGACGGGGCGGGGGAGGGGAAAGGTAAGTGGAATAAGGTAAGTGTTTATGTAATATGTAGTTGTAGTTAGTATTAAGTGTATGAGTGACGATGTATGTGTGTGACTGCTAGTGAATGAGTGTATGCGAGTGTGTCCGTAAGTGTGATGTATGTGTGTGTGATGATGAGTGATCCAATGACCGCCCCTCCGGAGCCATGCCACCCCCGAAGTGGTGTCTCACGGCCCCGGAGGGGGACGCCTTCACAACCCTAGGCTTGCCCGGGCATGGAGCCTCTGTTGGGGTGGACCTATATTTGCTGCCACACTCGTGGGACTAACATGGAGAAAACTAATATTAAAACTAAAAACTTAGCTGAGAGGGGGCCTAGCTCAGGCGGAAGGGAGCGGATTAGCAGTCGAGATGATGTTGTAGGCATGTGGAACTCAAGTGAGATTCTTGGAGTGATGGAGAGGATGGCTTCCAGTCGTGATGTGTGTGAGGACTTGATGACAAGGATTCCTCCAAGAGTGGAGGAAATTACCAAGTGCGAGAAGGAGTACCTTGAGGACTTAATGGAGAAGAGGGATTTAAAGGAGCTTCATGACAAGCTATGAGTCTTGCCACCGGAGTATTGTAGAAGGACTTGCCCTTATAGAGCGGCTGAGGGAAAGTGCTACCAGTCTCTTTAGGGAAGGGGAGGCACTGAGGCTCGAGGTGGAGTCGCTGAAGCGAGGTGATGGGAGGATAACTGCCGGACCCGTCTGTGATGTAGTAACGCAGACTGGCGCGGCCAATTGCAGAAGGAGCAGGACGACGAGTACTCAGACACCGGCGTTCTTACCCGGTACCCCAAGAGTGACTCGCTCTGCACCTGTGTTGATGGACAAGCAGACTGCTAGGGGCTTCTCGTAAGACAAATACGCCTGAGGCACCCAAGGCTCCTCCTCGGGAGTCGAGCCAGGGTTTGAGCTGGGCACAGGTTGCTAGGAGGGGTAAAAGAAACAGGGAGAGTGCTGGCAACAAGGAGACGAACACTGGGGCAATAAAGCCCCCTGCGCCGGTGGTCGCGCAGAAGCCGCCCCCTTCTCATAAAAAGAGAGGAAGGCATAAGCCTGGAGTGCCAAACACTACTGCAGTGGTGATAACTATCCCCCCCGAGGCGGAGGCCAGGGGGGTGACGTACGATAGGGTCCTGGCGAAGGCCAGAAAGGAGATCGCACTCCCGGAACTGGGTATTCCGGCGGGGGTGGACATGGGAGTTACCGCTACCGGCGCCAGAATCCTCAAGGTACCGGGGGCGAACAGCGGTGAGCAGGCGAGTCTCCTTGCCTCCAAGCTGAAGGAGTTGTGTGGCGACTCGGTCATTGTAACGATGCCAATTAAGAGGATCGACATGAGGGTGACCGAGCTTGACGACTCGGTCACCTCTGACGAATTGAAGGCGGAACTTGCGAGGCAGGGCAACTGCCCCCCGGAGCAGATTTTGCTGGGACCTATTGGCAGAGGCATTGGGGGCTTGAACACAGCCCTTCTGAAGTGTGCAGTGGCGGCGGCTGAAACTCTAGCCAGGAGTGGACGCCTATTGGTCGGGTGGACATCCGCCTGGATACGACGCCTGGAGCCCCTACCCATGCGCTGTTTCAAGTGCATGGGTACGGGACACGTGCGGAGGGTATGCCCTTCTAAGGAGGACCGCTCTGGAGTTTGCTTCAGATGCGGCCTCGAGGGGCATAAGGCGGCGTGTTGCCGCGAAAAGGCGCGATGCGCAGTGTGTGCTGCTGCATCCTTGCCGAGCGGACACGTGATGGGGAGCAAGAGGTGCTCCCCACCTTCCATACGGACACGGTCGGTTCCCGTGCCCCGTGGTACTCGTGCGGTACCAGCTGAGAACCTCCCTGAGGTAATGGACACGCATTAGCGTGTCTGTCTCTTTTGGGAGAGGAACGGCTGAAGCGGCTAGCAGTTGACTGGTTCCCTGGCAGGGTTACGTCTGCCGGGTGCGCCTGTGTCGCTGCTAGTGAGAGGTACATGGGGAGTCGACCTGCGTTTCGCAGGTAAGGGGATTTCCTCTGCGACCCCGGTCTGGCTGCCCGGCTCGGCCGCCATACACACCGCTTTGGTGTGTGTGGCGGCCGGTCCGGGCGGTACCATTCCGGGGTCGCGCAGAGAGGAGCTGCGGAGCCGGTTGATCCGGCCTGATAGCTGCGACCGTACGGGGGGAGGGATCCACGATAAGGGCAATGCCTGTGTGGGTCCTTCCAATAGACGTCTCCGCCCTGTCTGGGGGGGTACGTCTCGAGTGTCTCTGAGATGTGCCGCCCAACCCGCGAGGGACCTGCCCTTTTCAGGGCGGGCCGAAATGGGGGCGAACCGCGCGGTGCATGGCCTCCGGGCCGATCCCGTGCATCGCCTTCCATGCGAGGGACATCGCTGAGTTTTAGTGGGTAAACTCCTGTTTCTTGTCTAGCCCCTTCGGGGGTGGGGCCACAGGAGGAGTCCCACATAACTCGTGAAGCCCGCGCTTGGTGTAGCGGGTATGCGTAACGCATTTCTCAGCATCAAAAAAAAAAAAAAAAGGGGTTCGTCGACTTAACGGTACAGCGACAAATTGATAGACTAAAGAGAGTGATATGTGGACTACTTGTGCCTGGCACAAGGGCTTATGATGGCGAAATTTTTAAGGCACCAGAATAAGTTTGCAGACGTGGATAGATGGATCCTGCATAAGGCCATCGCTGAAGAGGATAACACTTTCATATTCAGCACCACATGAGACATAGAAGAAAAAATAGTGGCTATCTGACGGGCTCGGTATATGTCCGATTCCGACATCAGGATGGCAAATACCTAGTCAGCCTGCCACCTCTGGAGAACCAAACTTCAGCCCCAACACCAAGCACAGAACCTGGACCATCATCGACAGCAAATTCCTCCAGCACAGTCGCGCAGCAACGGCACAACTAAAAAAGTGGCTGGAGAACAATGACAAAACAGGGGCTATAGCTCTGATCCAAGAGCTGTGGATCAGATCCAATAACATCTGTGGCCTCGGCACTACAAGTGGTAAGACTTTCTACAACCCAGGTAACCGAGCACCGCGGACATGCATTGTTTGTTCTAAACATATACACGCCCAAATAATGACAACTTTTTGGTCTAGCAATCTAACTACGATAATAATTAAACAACAGCAAAATTGAAGTGTACCTGTCCTGATGGTCGCCATTGCCTACATGCCAGAGGGAGAGAAAGCACCGCCAAGAGAACTGGTTGAACTGGTACGACATTGCGAAGAAACGAACAAGGCGCTGATAATCGGCACTGACTCCAACGCACAAAGACACACCAGATTCCTGCCTTCACAAAGAGCAAAGAATCTTCACATACGGCTCTAAAACTAACAGAGTTACAGATGCTGGTATCTTTTTGGATGATCTACACGTCCAAATATCCACGGCATTGTGAATCTATAACACAGTATTTCAGGCAAAATGCGTGGATATAATAAAGGCTGCTGAAGTAATTACAAGCCGGAGAGTAAGAGGTAAAAAAATCCTATTCTCTCTGACAGTGTTTAGGTATTACAAGCTTTAAACAACAACTTAACATCAGGTCAATACACGAATGTCACTGTAAATTGACAGATTGTAAGAGAAATAAACAGACTTTACAATGGATCAAGGGGCACAGCGGGTCTAGGGGTAATAACGCGGCAGACAGCTTGGCCAGAGAAGGGTCAAGCAGAAAGCCCATCAGACCGGAAGCTGAGAACAGACAGCTGAGAATCTGGGTAAGATAACGCTGTTATCGACAACATGACGAATAGTGGACTCAAACGACTGACTGCAGGCAAGCTAAAGAAGCAATCCCCAAGGTAGACCTACAATTAGTACGCAAGTTAAATAAACTACCTACACGAACGCTAAGACTAATAGTAGGTATACTAACTGGACATGGCTATTTTAACAAGCACCTATATAACAAGGGTATTTCTGATAGTTGTCTGAGCAGAGCATGCCTGGATGCTGAAGAGACAAGCGCTTATGTACTGCTGGAATACAGGGGCGTTTCAAGACAGGACTACACATCTAGGTAGATTACGGACATTATAGGAGGCATGTGGCAAAGTTTAAGAACATTCCTGGAGGAGCTGGAGTGGCAAAACTGATGCAACCGCATTATTCACGCAAAATAGGCACAAGGTGTCGACTTGCGGAAAAGCCCGCCGTATGACATAACATATCGGTGGTATCAACATAGTTAATTTATGTTGTATTAATCCTTATTAACTAAGTAAGTAAATCAATTTTTTGAAGATTTAGGACTTTTAGGCAATTTAGGACTAGACTTTGAATTTTGCACTGATCCATAAATTTACACTCTGTCAATTAATTATTTATTTAAAAACTCTCACTGTCAATACTATAAACTTACCCTTGTCTCCTACTTCTCCATTTTCATTTGCAACTCACAATATTTTTAAATTGAATTTGTTTTTATATCAAATGAAAAATTAAAAATAAAACATGTGATATATACATATATTAGACCTTATGAATAATTTATGATTGAACTATTCATTACCAATATTGTCGTTATTTTTGAAAAGTGTAAATGGGTATGTAGTATTGAGGAATGACAGCTTTTTATAATTTATATCTACAAAATATGACTTGAATGCCATTCTACAAGTTTAAAGTCCCAAAAGAAGGAGATTTTTATCTATAGTAATTTACTAAGATAATATACTCTATTTAAACTCTATTTTGTTTCAAAAGAACCCATAAATTTCTATGAAAAATAATTAAAGGTATAAATCTACTTTGTTTTTTTTTTCAATTCTGCTACTTACCATAACAACTACTTTCTTTTTCAGCCTTGATTTCGGTAAGTGACTTAAGATCTGAAATAAAATTGTCATAACAAAAATCTTACTGATATGAACAAAAACTGCATCTATCAAAAATATTAAAATCATCACATCAACATACTTTTGAAACCATTTTCATTACAATGTTGCATAAACTTTTGTTCACATGCCACCACTTGTTGCTTAAAAAATGAAGCATCTCTGAGTCGTAGTTCACACACTTCACAAATGTGGTAAAAACACAACCCTTTTTCAGAAGTAATCTGCAATATACATTTCAAAATTACACAATTCTTTAAATAGATAAAATTTTCAAACTTTTCTATTTAATGTAATTTTAACCACACACTTGACAGTGATAGTACTAGACTTGAATACATATAATATTATCAATATCTATTGCTCGAACTGGTTTTGTTTTGTCTTCATTTTATAATAATGCAACTATAAAAAATAATATAAACTGTATAATAATACAGTTTTTTAGAAAATAGAATACTCTTTGTTGGTTGACCTTTCATTTAATTATTTAATACATTATGAATTGTTTAATAAGAACATACTTTATAATTAATTTAATGTAAAGCACAAGAAGCCAACAATTATTAATAACAAAAACAACAAAAGTCCATTAATTTCAACTTAGTTTCTATAATGAATACCTCAAAGTTCTTTAATAAGAAATAGCCTGAATCCATTAGTTTGTTTAATTATATTTTAAATTATTATATTTGATTAATTTTGCATTCACAATGCTTAAAAAAGCCACTGCCAGGGACTAGCACTCTGACATGGGACCCGAACCCATGACGTTTCGCAATCCGGGCGACTGCTCTTACCACTGATCTACCCAGGACCTAACAAGACTGTCGAATATACGGACAATCCACCCAAACAACTTGAAAATCCTCACCCGGATTTCGAAAGGTCATGGGATCGGGCCCCATGTCAGAGTGCCATGGACGAACTCGATTTTAAAGGATTTTTCATTAAGAATATAATATTTTAAACTTACATAAAAATATCACTTACATTTACATTAAAAGTATCGCGAAGCATAACAGAATACACTTCATCAATCCCATTAAAATTATAGGAAACGTCGAGACTCTTGAAATCTCCTTCGGCATGGCAGCAACGACATAAACCAGTGATAGCCGAATTGGACATGTTACAATAATAAGTAACAAGGTAACATTTGAAGAAAAAATCTAATTAGAATTCATAAAACAGTCGTTCAAGTGCTCCGTCCAATATAAGTTACTCAGTCATAGAGTATCTTTTTTTTTACTGGAAAAAGTTACTTTACGCCACTTTACGCCGTCCATAAACTACGTCCACTTGGCGATATTTTTGTTTTGACATATTGATTAGACATTGACATTGATTGTTCTTTTTTTATTGGTGTTCACGGCTCTGGATTGATTGTTCTGTTCTGTGTTGCAATAATAACTTGTTCTTCTAGTTTGTTGTCTTCTTGTTGTCAGTAGATGGCGGCTCTAGCAAAAGTTGAAACGAATGGCCTAAGGGCGCTTGTGCACTAAACTGACTTTTCATGTCCGGTGGTCCGATTTTTTCAGGTCCGATATGTCAGGCTATATATAAGTAATGCAAGCCTGTGCACTGTCAGGAATTTTACCGTCCAGGATTTTACTTTTCTCTATTCCGGACCGGTTTTTTCAGGCCCGTGATGGCGGCAATGAAAAACGTGTTGACGCTTGTGCACTGCCACAGAATATTGCTGTGTCCGTGATCCGGAAAATTCATAAGGAATAGGCTTGGGAATAAATAGTTGTGTATAATCGATATTTATTTCGGCGATATTGTAAATGGGGTGTAAGGGGGTCCGAACAACATCTAACGGATCCCAAGCCAACCTCACCTGCACGCGGTACACCCTGCCGACTAACCAACGAGGCTCTGGCGCTCCCCACCAACCCGCATTGGGCCAGCGTGGTGGGAGACGGCCCAAAACCCCTCAGAGATCAAAATTGAACCAAACGAAAGGCCCCGAGTGCCCGGCGGTGCCGTAAGCCGTGCTGGCGCGGACGGACGCCAACTCGGCGAAGGCACCAGGGGTGCGAAGAATCCCCGGGCGGCAAAGATCCTCCGTCAAACGACCTTGGCCCTGGCAACCTACAACGCACGCACACTGCGGACCGAGGAGAAGCTGCTGGAACTAGAGAAGGAATTGAGCAGGATTCGTTGGAGTATTGTAGGATTATCCGAAGTCCGAAAAGAGGGCGAGGACACGATGATCCTTAAATCCGGTAACCTGCTCTATTTCCGGGAGGGCGAAGATCTGTCCCAAGGTGGCGTCGGGTTTATCGTCCACAAGTCTCTCGTGAACAATATTGTACAGATTGGAAGTGTATCGAATAGGGTGGCGTACCTTATACTCAGAATCACCGAACGGTATTCGCTGAAGGTCATACAGGTTTACGCCCCGACCTCGACGCACCCCGACGAGGAAGTGGAAGCCATGTATGAGGACATTTCCCGGGCAATACATGGTTCCACGACCCACTACACTGTTGTCATGGGAGACTTCAACGCAAGGCTAGGCAAGCGTGGCGATGAGGAGTTGAAGGTGGGGCATTTTGGATCTGGGATCCGGAATCACCGTGGTCAAATGCTAGCCGACTACATGGAGAGGGAAGGACTCTATATGATGAACTCCTTCTTCAAAAAACGGTTGCATCGAAAGTGGACCTGGAAGAGTCCGGATGGTGTGACAAAAAGCGAGATCGACTTCATCATGTCGACTAAGACTCGGATATTCAATGACGTCTCAGTGATCAATTCGTTTAATACGGGAAGCGATCACCGTATGGTAAGAGGCGCATTGAATCTAAATGTAAAAGCTGAACGGTATCGACTGGTGAAGTCTACGCTCCGTCCTGAAGCCACCCAGATCCGGGACCCCGAGCACTTTCAGCTCGAACTTCAAAACCGCTTCGATTGCCTGGAGAGCTGCTCGGATGTGGACGAATACAATGACAGGGTCGTAGAGGCTGTCCTTACGGTGGGTTCAAAATTCCTCAAACCTCGCCGTACTCAAAAAAGAAGCAAGATCTCGGAGCAGACAAGCAAGCTAATGGAAGAAAGGCGTGAAATGGTTCTGCAGTCTTCTGAGGATGCTCGTCGGCAACTCAATAAACAGATCTCGAAGTCTCTCACACGCGACATACGCCAATTTAATACTCAATGTATTAAGGAGGCGATTGAGCGGAATAAAGGCTCCAAAGTGTTCGCTAGAGATCTGTCTCTCGGACAAAGCTTGCTGACGAAGCTAAAGACAGAGGACGGCAGAGTCGTTACATCCCGTCCTGAGCTTGTGGCGGAGATCGAACGCTTCTATGGACAGTTATACACAACATCACAGAAACCTGTCATTGAGGCTACAGACCCTAGAGCCAAATTAACCCGACATTATACCGAAGACATCCCGGACGTCAGTCTATACGAGATTAGTGTGGCTCTCAAACAGCTCAAGAACAACAAGGCGCCGGGGTATGATGGAATCACAGCGGAACTTCTGAAAGCGGGTGGACTACCAGTCCGGAAAGCGCTTCAAAAGCTATTCAATTCCGCCATACTCGAGGGCAAGACGCCAGAAGCATGGCACAGGGGCGTGGTGGTGCTTTTCTTCAAAAAGGGCGACAGGGCCCAATTGAAGAATTACAGACCCATCACGCTTCTGAGTCATGTGTACAAGCTGTTTTCGAGAGTCATCACGAATCGTCTCGCACGTAGATTTGACGACTTCCAGCCTCCTGAACAAGCCGGTTTCCGAAAAGGTTACAGTACCATAGACCACATTCATACGCTGCGACAGGTTATACAGAAGACCGAAGAGTATAATCTGCCACTATGCTTGGCGTTTGTGGACTATGAGAAAGCCTTCGACTCCGTCGAGACCTGGGCCGTGCTTAGGTCACTCCAGAGGTGCCAAATAGACTATCGATACATCCAAGTGCTGCAGTCACTGTACGAAAATGCCACCATGTCAGTTCGGCTCCAGGACCAAAACTCGAAAGCAATACGACTTCAACGTGGAGTGAGACAGGGCGACGTTATATCGCCGAAACTGTTCACTGCCGCACTGGAGGACGTATTTAAGCTTTTGGACTGGAGAGGACTTGGCATCAATATAAACGGCGAGTACATGACGCACCTTCGTTTCGCTGATGATATCGTAGTCATGGCTGAGACCATGGAAGATCTAGGCACAATGCTCGAAGACCTCTGTAGAGTTTCCCAGCAAGTGGGTCTTAAAATGAACATAGAGAAGACAAAAATAATGTCAAACTCCCATGTCGTACCCACTCCAGTGACTGTTGGAGGCTCTATACTGAAAGCTGTCGACGAGTACCTTTACCTGGGACAAATAGTCCGATTAGGTAAGTCCAACTTCCAGAGAGAGGTAAGTCGACGGATCCAACTCGGCTGGGCAGCGTTCGGGAAGCTACGCAGTGTATTCTCGGAACATCTACCGCAGTGTCTCAAGACAAAAGTCTTTAATTCGTGCGTGTTGCCAGTGATGACATACGGTGCTGAGACGTGGCCGCTTACGATGGGCCTCATAAGGAAGCTCAAGGTCGCTCAGAGGGCAATGGAAAGGGCTATGCTCGGGGTTTCTTTGCGAGATCGAATTAGAAATGATGAGATCCGCAGAAGAACTAAAGTCACCGACATAGCTCAAAGAATTGCAAACCTCAAGTGGCAGTGGGCAGGGCACATCGCTCGCAGGACTGACGGCCGTTGGGGCGGTAAGGTCCTGGAGTGGCGACCGCGTACCGGGAGACGCAGTGTTGGCAGGCCCCCCACAAGGTGGACCGACGATCTGGTGAAGGTCGCGGGAAGCCGCTGGATGCGGGAAGCGCAGGACCGATCGTTTTGGAGATCTTTGGGGGAGGCCTATGCCCAGCAGTGGGCGTCTCTCGGCTGAAATGATGATGATGATGATAATGTAAATATTTATTGTAGATTATAAAATGCTATATTTTATATAATGATTTAATATAGTTGGTAAATATCACTGCATATGCTTTGGCAAACTCGTTATAGTTCTAATTTGATCAGCAAATGGTTCTAGTATCGATACTTAGCTACAAGTGTTGTTACGCTTAGACGCCTAAACAATTGAACCCATCTTAATGGAAATTAATATAGTAAATAGACTTAACTTTAAGTCAGGACATAGGCTAGATTTTATCGCGAAAAATGGGGGATGAAAGTTTGCCTGGAAATTTGTCATTATCAAATTTTTTTTAGACAATTGATAAGTGTAGATAAATATTTAGTAACAGAAGTAATAATAAAGAATAAACAGAAGATTAACAGAAGTAATTAAGTGACACACAATGTCTTTTTCGCATTTAATAAAATTTGAAATGACTTATGTCATAAATAAATAAAAAAAAGACACAAAGGGAAAAATATTTCTGCTCAAAGAAACTACATCACGCGAATAAAATTATGCCTATATATTATACAGTCAACTGATCTCGTAAAGTTCATTTAGCATATTAATTCTCCGCTTACACGGCACTAAATTTGTTTACGAAATGGCGCCACCAATTAGTCTATCTCTGTAATCGTTTAAAGTTGTTTTTACAAAACTTCGAAAAAAATAGCATGTTTATAAATTTAAACATCAAGTATCATTATCAGTAATTTTATTGTAATGACACAGACATTTTCAGCTATTGTATGTGAATAATGCTGTCTCTAAATTAGTAAGGGTATAAGTTTTTTCATCTAATAGTAGTCATCCGGTAGTAGTAAAAAAAAATCTTTCGTCTTGCCTCAATTTATTATGGTTTATGTAAAATTATCAGGTCGTTATTTAGGTACCCTTCTACGTGTTCGAACGCAATTACCGACATTTCAAAAGTCTCATCGTACTTAGCGTAAGTGACGTGTAGCTTCAAAGAGAGCTGCCCTAAACTGCACCGCTCCGATCAGGAAAAAAAACGGACAAGTGCAAAAGCCACTCATCCGAGTTTTTCATGTCATTTCGGACCGAAAAAAATCGGACCACCGGACCTGAAAATTCAGTGTAGTGCACAAGCGCCCTAACGATAGTCGTTTTCGTTCGTTTAAATCACAGAACAGATAAAAAGGTAGAACGATTAAGTGGGCGGGGTCGTGCGACCATCCATATGCCCAAAACGGTCATATGAACGTCATGTTACTTAAATTTCCAGTTTATTATTTGCACAATGTCATAGTGGTTTATGGTGCGTCGAAAAATACGAAAATATGCCGAATAGTGCCGTTATTAC